TAGGGGTTTTTAAGAAAATATCTTTTAGATGATATTTTCATTCTGGGCAGTTTTGTAGTTATCCCTTTTTGTAGGGGTCATTGTGTAATTAACAAAAAGTTATTGCAAAATGCCTTGTTTTGAGCCTGGATCCTTGTACGGGAGTCATTTTCACTTTTCGTCGAGTCGTGTACTCTTAAAATTTCCTTCTGACTATTTTTCCCAATTTTAAGGTTTTCGGCCCGATTACCGCCGAACTTGTTCAGGGCATATCTTCCTGCACAGGACTCGGTTTTCAACGCCGTTTCTTCCATTATTCATTTTTTTTTTTTTTTCATTTTGGTTCTTTTTCGTTCATAGTGTCTGCGCGAATTTCACTTTTCCAGACCCGGCGAGGCACTTTTAGAGTTTTATTATAAATAGGGGGTTATAAAAAAAATTAAAACATTTTCCTCCCTTCTTCTTTGGCCGGCCAGCAGCAACCATGGTAGCCCAAGGGGCTGCAACCTTCTTTTCTTCTTTTCTACCTTCTTCCCTCATGTAAAATGTCATAGTGCCTTAGTGTTTATCGTAGACCTTGGCGAGGCGCACCTTTCCCCCTTATTCGAAACCATTTTCAACCATTTTTGAGTTCAAGTTTTGAGTCCGGGTTGGGATTTTCATGGTGCCTCAAAGGTTAAAGTTGTTTCCCTTGTTGTCCTCGACATAACCTAGGAGTATCGTCGGATTCGGAACACTTTTCTTTTGGTGGGGATTTGAGATTTCATCTGAAGTTGAGGTAGGGAATGTTTTAGGCCTTTATAAATGTTGTATTGAATGTATTTCATGTTTATACAACTTATATGCATGCCTAGGTATTTTATTTAGAATTTAATTTCATTATTTTCTTTGTATAAGATTTAATTCTCATGGTTATATATAACTTGGAATTAAATTATAGCATGCCATTAAATTAAGCCATGATATGTTCATTAATATATATTAAATTGGGAGGATTTGAATAAGTATTGCAACTTTTATTTAACCTTTCACATATGTTAAAGAAATACCAAGGTCTAATTTTATATCACATTACAAGTTGATTCCATGTTAGTTACAACCATGTGAATTAAATTTTAACTTGATATTGTTGATAAGCTTGGCATGTACTATCATATACATTAAATTGAGAATAATTGAATAGGTTTTGAGACTTTTATTTGATTATTTTCTTTGTATGGAATTTAATTCACATAGTTGTACCTAGCTTGGAATGAACTTACAATATGATATTAAATTAGACCTTAATATGTTCATTAACATATATGAAAATGAGAATATTTGAATGAGTGTGGAGAACTTTATTTAATTATTTTCTTGTATGAAGTTTAATTTACCTAGTTGTGAGTTAGGTAGAAATAACTTGTAAAGTGTTATTAATCTAGGCCTTGCCATGACCTTCGACTTGTATTAGTTTTAGAATATTTGGAGTTACTATGTAATCTTGAGAATTTAGTTATTTAATTTAATTAAATTCCATTATATGCTTCCATTGAAGTAGTTAGGTATTGAAGTTGTTCTCATGCTTAACTTGTAAATTTGGAACTTGTCGTATGATTACATTATAGTATTCAATGAGTAGCAGTTATAGTTTAACTTGCTTATATACACATTATATATTTGACATGTCGTATGCCATTGTAGCTTGAAGACATAGGATGAATATTGTGTGTTTTACTTGACTTATTTGTGCATGGTAGTTGACCAATATATTGTATATATGTATTATACCTTGATGCACGACTTGCTAATTTTAGGAAAGCTTACAAGGATATTGTAATATGTTACGGCTAAGGAATGGCTCTAGTACGGGGGATGAGAGCTCCCCCTACAACATATAGTGCACACTGGGTGGTTTCCTAAGGGCTAGTACCCTTAAAACACCAATATACGGTTTGATTCCGGGGTTAGTGCGCACTGGGTGATTTCCTGAGGGTTAGTAACCCGAGATCAGCTTGTTTTGTCATTGAGACCGTATGTTCTTGTCTTTCCGCCACTACTTGATTTCGCATTCAATTCCAAGTTGTTTAATATGGATTAATTTATAGCTTGCGATGTAGTGTTTGACATTTCAATTAGGTGTAGTATACATATGTTTAGTATACTTACATGCCTTGCTTTTCAATACAAGTTAATAGTACTAAATTATCATAACTTGTTGTTTCCGTATTTTAGATGTCAAGCTGTTAACTTTGATAATCTATACTTTGGTGCGTTGCATTAGAATTTCTATTGTTAGTTAAAATTACATTGAAATTGTAATTTGTGTTTTAATTGTTCAATGTAGCTTAGGATGATTCCTTAGACTCATTTGAAACATAGACGTCAGGTGGCATGAACCGTTTTAGTTGTTTTACGCATTTTAGGGTCCAAATTGATAATTTTGAATACCTATGTCTTGTTGCGTTGCACTATATGCTCCTATATTGTTAAATTGCATGAATGATGTGGTTTATGCTAGAAATACTCTAAGGTAACTTAGGATGCTCCCTGAGTCTCACCTTTGACATAAACGCTAGGTAGCGTGACTGTATAAATTGATTTGTATCTGACGAGGCCCCTTGTATACACCAAAATAATGTAGTGAATGTGTGGTTCAAGAAAAGCCTTTTAGGTCAAGTTTAAATTTATAAAAACCACTACCACTACTACTACTAACGTAGCAAGAGTGAGTAGGAATCGTCCTAAGGGATTATATGTGTTGGAATTTAACTTTGACTTTAGTGGATCACAAAATTGTAAAGGAGGGTTGGGTTGGTTGATTACTCAAGAAAACAATTAATTAAAATGCAATTAAATTAAGCTAAAGTGAGATAGGGATTTAAGAGATGAGAAGTGAGGTCTTGGGGTACATTGGAATTGCCACCAAGCTCGTTCACCAAACCACACACTTTTAACTAATATGGGGAAAGCCTTCTTCTGAACAAAATGCGACTACCAATTGCAATATTAAGCATGGATCATCAAATTCAATAATGTATTATCTACCTAACCAACAAATAAACCAAGTGTAGAACAACCCATCAATTCTAAGCATGACCCATCAAACTAGTCACAATTGTAGCACACATCAATCTAGAGAATCATGGATTTTGCAATAATAAGCCATAGAATATCAAATCAAGTAAAGATTGTCTAACTACATGCAGGCATGAATTAAATTGTAGAACAACCCATCAAGCATAAGAATAATCCATCAAATTAATTGACGAACCCATTCAATGAATACCATGCATAGCTGTCACTAGATCTTTAATTAATCATACATGGACATACAACCAACATAGAGAAACTAGTGTAGAGATCAATTCCCAAATAATCACACATAAGACAAAACATATTCACAAAGAAAATCAATAGGAAGAATTAAACCATATGAATCATGTGAGACATAATTTCCAATTTGATTCATATGTAAATAACCATATGAATCATGATGAGCACTGAAAAGTGCGCATTTAAACCTCTTAAGCTCGAGTATTCTAGGACCTTTATCTATCATATTGTCCCGTTTTAGACTAATTTCATATTATTACCCTTTTCAAGCGCTTATCCCCAAAATAAGTCAATTCAACCAAATTAGAGTATAAAAGAAGCAATCTCAAGCTAAATGGAAGAATGGAGCAAAGTGGAAGCAAAGTGGTGGAAAGCAGCAAGCTTCAATCGATCAAACATATTTTCGATCGATCTACAGTGATCGATCCAGCCCTGCCAATAGCTAAGGCCCCGTTTGGAAAGTGTAATGTAATGTACTGTACTACTCTAACCTAAAACAGAATAAGTATTTTGTAGTGTGATATTCTGAAATGAGAACAAAACATGTTTGATATTCCAAGTTTGCTCTACCGAATCATGAAACAAAAACATGGTAGAAGATGTTTGGTAATGTATATCGTTCTAAGAAATATGAGAACAAAACATGTTTGGAAGACTGAAAGTGTAACCAAAATCAGTAGAAAAATAAAATAATTAAATATTTTGGATTAAAAATGTTTTTAAATAATATTTTCTTAAATACATTTTTGCTAACTTTATTAAGTATAAAGTTAGATAAAATGATTGTATAATTTTAATATACAATTAATATAAAGAGAAGTGTGTATATATATATATATATATATATATATATATATATATATATATCCTCCATTTATCTTAATTTATTATAAAAACTATTAAAATAAATTAAAAATAGACCGCCTATGAAACTGAAATAAAGTTTCAATATATCATAGTTTCATGAATTTAAATATATTACATACATGAGTATCAAAAATATTACAGCATTCGTCAACAGTCACAATAAAAGTTGTGGTCATAAAATAAAATTTTCAATATTACATCATTTCTCAACAACCACAATAATAAACAACAACAACATGAGCAAAAATAACAAGAATATAATTATAGTAAGACAACAACAACATCCATAGATAGTGTAGTTTTGCCGATTTTGTTGAGCTTGCATAACAGCAACTACATCCTCCAACTCTTCCTGCACATGACCACCCACTTGCAGACGTTAGTGCATGTCATCCAACCATATAAATGCACGATTATGTGACTAAATTCGAAAAAAGAGTTGTACATTATTAGAATGCACATGTAACACTAAGATGTAATTAAAATATTGTTATTAATGCAAAGAAAATTGTATACCTCCCAAGCTGGACATCTAAAAAATGATCGTCCATAATTCTTAGAAGTTCCAGCCGTATAAAGATTCATTCGACCCCTTCCACATGCATAAGGTGGCCCGTCACCCTGTATCTTATACATGACTGCATATACAAACTATAAGACTGATCCAAAGAAGTTAATAAAAATTATAAAGTTAATCAAAATAGTTATTACAATTATCGAAATCATAAGAAAGAAATAAAATGAAGTAGTTGTTATAGTAGAGCCAAATACTAACAAATAGAACAAGTATAAAGTAATTATTATAGTTATCCAAACATGGTAAACATGTAAATCCTATTTCAAGGGTGATGACTTGCATTCCATATAGTATCGGCAATATAATCGCGTACAATATCCATTGGTCGCGAGTGAGACTGCGACACATTAGGTTGAACATCAACTTCATCATCTCCAAAAATTTCATCTATCATTGCCTCCACAGTTGCATCATTAAATATTGGATCTACATGCGCCTCCTTTCTTATACAGTTATGAAGTGTGCAGCAAGCTAAAATAATAGCAACTTGAGCTTCAAACTTATAAGGAGGCATTTGCTTCAAGATGGGGAATCTCATCTTAAGCATCCCAAAACAACGCTCAATTATATTTCGTAATGACGAGTGCCTGTGATTATAAATTTCCTCTCTACCTTGGAGTTGCCGATGAGCTCTACGGTACTCTTGGAAGTGGTACCGTTGGCCCCTGTAAGGAGCCAAAAAACTCGGTTGATTGGCATACCCGGAGTCCACCAAATAATATTTCCCTGCTATTTTACAAACTATAAGGCACGTTTGGGAACCATAATATTTTAAATAAGTATTGCAAAATTATTAGATGAATGACATTTACCTTCTGGAGGCATTGGGAAATGCAAATCTTCATTATTAATTGTCTCGTTCAATATCCTAGAATCATTAGTAGACCCCTCCCATCCAGCTACGACGTACGTGAACATCATATCAAAATCACAAACAGCCATTACATTTTGGGTGGTATCCCCCTTCCTACCATAAAATGGTATTTGCTGGTCCACAGGCACGTTCGCATGGACATGAGTTCCATCAATTGCCCCAACTCAACCCTTAAAAAAAGGGTGGTACTTTTTTGACTTCCTTATATGGTTAGGAACTTGGGTAAAATCTGGGGCGACAATAATCTGTTTCCCTAAATCACAGACTTTTTGTAAAACCGCATGGAAGTATTTTGAAATTGTATAGGTAGAGTGTTGAAATCTTTCTGTGACCACACGATTCCTTTCATTATGAGCTAAAGTAAGCAAGAATATGCCAACTTGTTCATAAACACTTACACCTGTTGAGTCTTTCAACCCTAATGACTTAAGCTCCCCACACAACTTCAAAAAAACAGGGGTGGACATCCTGAAATTTTCAAAACATCTACTTTCATGTCCATACAAGATCTCCATTATATATGCTTCCCCGGTTAAAAGAGAATCCCTACAAGGTCGTTTCTCGTAATGTTTCTTATAATAGTCCAACATACATGCCATTATGATGACACACTCATTCTCCTCATCACCATCATCATACAAGTCAATTATTGTCCTAATATCCATCTGTATAATACAACATTTAACAAACATTATAAATTACAATAATCTCAAGCAAAATACCAAATAAAAAATTGAAACAAGACAACAACAAAAATCAAAACAAGCAAAATACTTATATTGTCATTACAATGAAATCAAATAACATATCAACGAGTGTAGTTAATATTACAATCACCCAAAGTCATAGCAAAAGACAATAAGAAATAAAAGCGACGCACAAAAAGTCATAATACGTAATAGTACAGTCATCCAAAGTCATAATAAAACCAACATGCCAAGTCAAATTCCGTTGATCCAACCAACCCTCTTTTCATCCGGAAGGTCATTAAGAGAGAAATCACTCCAAAGTTCATCATTACGTAACATTTGGGTGACCTTAGCATATTGTTTCATATCAACGCCCTCCAACTTATTCAAAATGTAACAACATAATTTAAAATCACCCTTTGTCTTATCTGGAGAATTGACTTCAACCTGCCCAACTTCATGCCCTGTTTTCATATTAGATGATGAAGAAGCGACTATGGCCCTTTCAATTCGATCTGTTTTCTCTCTACAAGTCTCACTCATTTTCTCCATGACACGATCCATTGTATCGGCAAAACTCTCTCTCCTTGGTTTCTTACCACGAGGGTCAGGAGAAGGACTGAACTCATGACCGCCTAACTCAGCAAAATCATCATTAAGGTTAAATGAGGTATGTGTGCCTTCATGGTGTGTGGGGGCTTGGTTGAGAATGGGTGGACTGTAGGAAGTATGGACATGTGCACCTGTAGCATGTGTGCCTCCAAATATGGTGGTGAGCTTATCAAAATGATTGCATGGCTTCTTTCGATACTTTCCATATTGGGAATTCACCTACAAATTATTAAATTACTATTAATATTAAGTTAAGTATAATTTTTTGTAAAATCAACATAAATTTATTTTAAAAACTAACCTTGATCAATCTAGTCCATCTTTCCTTTTCAACTATAACCATACCCATCTCAGCATTGTATCCCACGCCTGTTTCTCCTAACAAACTCATAAAGGCTCTGTAATCTACCCTCATGTGGTTGAATTTGCTCTTAAGTTGTTTCGGTTCATAGTTCTTGCCTGTATGGATAGTCATGCCTTTCCGTATATTCTTCCAACCATTTGTAGTAAAAGTTGAGTTATTCCAATTGCCAGCCTGAACTTCTTCTTCCATACAGATGATGAAAGCTTCAATATGAGAATCATCCCATACTAGTTTTCCATCATCGGTATTGTCTGTAAGGTCCTCTATTTCGGAGTCCACCACATTGTCAACATTGATATCCATCTAATTAATAAAAATGTGTTAAAAGGGTCATTAACAACTGTAATCACCTTATAGTGAACTGAACTTCAGTTAGTAATACATTCTTAGATCATCTCAAACAAATTGCTACATAGCACAAAAGCAAACAACAGATGAAAAGGTGTACAAGGTGCTCTCACACAGCTAAGGAAAATATTTTGCAAGACAACTGGGGGAAAATGGAGGTCAACTCAAATGAGGGATGACAAAAATTAGAGATTTCCACTTAAGCTTTCTTCTTCACAAAGCATACATTAAAGCTTTTAAATTACATCCTCCACTAAAATTGCCAGTACTGCTAAAAGTTGAGATCTATGAGAACAATTGTTTTTTGGCATTCTTAATGATAGGATAACTTTTTTTTTTTTACACGAATAAACAAAAAATTTATTGGACAAAGAAATGATTTCAAACACCCCTAAGAACAAAACTATTCTCGGTCTGTCCTGTTAAAAACCATTCCAACCTCTTATAAATATTGATAACTATTGACACAATGTCAACCATTGGGCAAAGCATGGAAAAAAAAAAAAATTCAGGGACAACAGACCTCAGTTTAACCTTGTTTACAAAGTTTACTTTCACTTTCCATGCACTTTTTGTCTCTAGGGCAGTACAACCTTTCTAATGTTAATTACAGAATTCTATTCTCCACTACCCAGAAAAATACTAGTATATTGTGTATTTCAATGAAATTTGTAGCAGAAGAGTAAGGAAATGGTTGTAGAACTTATACCCACAAGTATGATTTTACTAATGTAAGTACCTTCAGAGAGAACTAAAGACACTTGAAAATCTAAGATTGACTCCCATAAAGACTAGATACTAAAGTGTGATCATATTTCCTATTATTGCATTTGTGGTTTAGCAGGGTTATATCGATATAAATCCAACAACTGACTAAGAGAACAGGAGAAAAGGTAATTATGATTATGGCTTGGTTTCTGCTTCCACAACTCCAGTAACAACACAAAAAAAATAGAAACACAAACTGACAGTAATGTTCAGTGTTCAAAGTGTTCTATCCTCCAATAGGTTTCAGGATAAAATTCAAGTTCACATCTGCATATAAGAAAAGCAATAACTCACGACTTTGTTCCAACAGAAATTTACATGCTACACAAGGTGATGGGAGGAAAAGACTACAGAAAGACCCAATATTTGGTATTATTTCAAATTGATTGCATGGAGACTCAAATCCGCATCCACTCACCGGTGATTGTGCAGAGAGCAGCGGCAAGGTATGGGTTTGCCGGAAAGAGCTTCACAAAGGTGAGACAGAGGGTTCCTCTCTTCAGATCTGCATACACAGGGCCCTGATTTGAAGCCCGATCTTCAAACAATTAGACTTTAATTTTATACACAACACAACGAAATGTGATGAAGACTCGGCATACGAACTCACCTCAAATAGTGTATATCGCCTCTGTGAATATTATCTGGAGAACCCTAGAAATGTTCCACCCAATCTATTTATATGTGTTCTCAGAATGCTCCACCATGGCCCCTGTTGTTCTCCTTTCTACAGTGCATAGTGGGCCGCATATATTTTAGGTACACTTTGGAACACCAATATGTTGTTCCGGAAATTGGCCCATTCCTCCAACTTGTTCCTGCACTGTTGGGCACAATATAGGCCATCTCTAAACAAGTTGGTGTCCTCAATAGTGTTAATTTGCACTATAGAGAACAGCCCATCACAGCATGGAGCATCCCCCAAACAGGGCCTAAGAGCAACTCCAACGTCCCAAACTTTAGAGATTTTGGGCTTTTTTTTTTGCTATTGAACTGCTCTAATTGTATCTCCAAAAATTGGACCCCATCCAATGGGTCACGGAATGCGTCACGTATTGCAGCGACCCTCTTGGCGAGCTGCGGGCCCGCCATACGGGCCAGGCTCTGTTTTGTTTTATTTTTTTAATTCTAGCCCAGAACACTATTTTAACATAGAACACTGTTCATAAGGGCATGTTTGACTGAAATAAAGGCTAAAAATAAGATTTTTAGCTTATTTTGGTTTCTTATTTTTTTTATTTTTTTATTTTTTCCCCTCAATATAATTGAACCAAAGAGTTGTTTGGCTGACACAAACAGTGCCTTAAAGGCTTCTTTGGGCAAAAAAAAGTTTTAAAAAATTGAAAAAAAGTGCTTTTATTTCCTTTTCAAAATTTTCAATATTCCTATTAACATTATAGCTGTTTTTTGTATTATTTGGCTGACCCAAACAGTGCCTTAACGGCTATATTGGCTAATCAAACAAACTATTATTATTATTATTATTATTTTTCCCCAATAAATTGAAATTTATTTTAAAATATGATTTTTTTTATTAAAAAAATGTGTCTTTGTTTTCACTATAAAATAATAAATCAAATGATAATAGAAATATAGCTGTTAGGAAAAAGATAAGAAATAAAATTTATTAAAAATATTAAAATATTAATATTTTTGGAGAGCAAAAATGCACCATTGGAGTACATGTGATAGATTAAATTTGAAGACTCTAAAATGCTAACGTGGCTATTAAAAAATGCTAATATGACAAATTTAGAGAGCCCATTGGAGATGCTCTAAGGGTTTATAATTTTCTATTTGATAGTTGGCATTGTGAAAGCAAAAAAATTAGATAAAGAGTTGGAAGTAAGTGGTAAAATGTGGTTAATGAACAAGCTTAAGCTTTGAATTGGATAAATATATATAAACTAAGTTTGTAAGAAAACTTATTTTCTTTTTATAATAGTCCATCTCACTATGATATTATCTATTTTAGGGTAGGGCCTCGTATCATTTAGACATGGAACTAGTATTAAAAGTACTCCGCATTCATATTTTGGATCTGAGCTCGCACGGTTTTATTTTTGAACTTTATTTAAAAGATCTCATACCATTTGGAGATGGAACTAACACATATAGCTAACTAAATTTCCTCCAATCCTAAATTCAAGTTGCAAATTCATTGCTCCCAAATGCAACAATAAGCACTTCACTTTTACCTTTCTTAGGTGATGTAAGATTGTGCAACTTATAGGTCATCTAGTGTGATAGCTCGCTCAGTGTCTTGTCCCCGGGCCCACATCACACCCGTCAACATAGGTTGCCACATTCTTGGATTAATAGAAACCAAATCTTTTGGGATTTCAAATTAGAATTGGAAAATGAATTGAATTGTAATTAAAATGGAATTCTATTTGGATGTTTGGAATAAACTGGAATTGACAGAAAAATATTTAAAATACAATAAATTTTGTACCACTTTGTAATAAAGAGATGTTGAAGGCCCTATTTGATATCATTATTCAGCGCTTAACACAGAATACGGTAAGCGAATTTTTAAAATTAGTGTGTTTGATAACATTTAGGTTACCACTTAAAATATTATGCACTAACTTAAAACAGACGAAAATTTTAAGCGACACGTACCTTGCTTAACACTTATTGCATAAGACGATAAGTGATTTTAGGTTTTAAAATATTTTGTTAATGACAATATTACCCTCAAATATTATATTTATAGGTTAACGTATTGATGCTACTCTTGAAATTAAACATATTGATGGACTTTCTATTTCCACTTTGTATTTCTATTCGATGGATTTTTATTTTTAGTATACTCCAATTTCTCAAATGTTTCATTGTACTTTTCTTCTCAAATAATGTAAATATAAATAAATATATATATATATATACTCATGGTTCACTCAAGTTTATAATAAAAAATCATGCAATGAAACTCTCACACCATTGTTATGAAGCAAATCTACCATATAAATAAAAATCGATTGATTTGTATGTGAATTCTAATCTCATTCTCATAAATATTTCATTTTCATAAGTTATTCATTTTATATGTTGATTTTGAAATTTTTATGATTAGTTTTGACATTAATATTCATTGTTAAATTGATATATTTCTTTGGTGAAATTCATTATTTTATATATATGTTTATATTTTAATATAGTATCTTTTATAATAATATTATGTGTAGAAGATATTCAAGGTAAAAATGTAATATATACAACATTCATATTTCAGCTTTTGCATTTAACAAAAAATCTTAATGAGTTCAGCGCTTGAAACAAACAAAATTAGGTAAATTACACTGATTTCCCTTGAGGTTTGAAAAAATTACACACAGGTAGAGCATTTAGCCTTTATTACTTTGACCTCCCTTGAGATTTAACGTATGTGCTCAACGACACCCCCTGCCACTAATGAAATTTCAAAAATGAATAAGTTACCATTTTTTTTTTTTGTGTTAAAAGACCTCAATAATATTATATTTTGACATGAAATGATAAAAATACTATGAAATGCCATTGAAATTCAAAGTACCAATTTTATATTATTAAATTTTATTAAATATATATTTTTTGTTAATGACATTTGATTATGTGTCTTTTTATGATATGATTAGGGTTTTTTTGTTCAAAAAATAAAATAAAATTAAATAGGATAATATAAGGTTTACAAGATGGATGAAAAAAGAAAAGATAATATAGTCTTTTGGTTTAACAGTTTTATTTATTTATTTATTTATTAAATTAGATATGGGTATGAAAGACATTTTACACTTTTAGAGGAGGTCAAAGTAATAAATGTACAACCCTCTAACCGTGTGTAATTTGTCCAAACGTCATAGAGGTCAATGTAATTTACTCAATATTTTTTTTTTTTAAATTCATTTTTTTTTTTGTAAAATGTTGAAATTCCAAACACAGTGTAACTAGTTAAAATTTGTTGGCCATTTTTTGTTCATCAGGTTTCAACTTTAATAATTAAATACTATGCTAACTAGTATCTACTAAAAGTTTAAGTTGTCAGAGAAGCTATTAATTTCAAGATTTTTATATTTTCTAACATCTGGTCCTTTCTTCCATTGAAAAATATCCTAGATTACGCATAGACTTTTTGGGCCAAAAATCACCTCCAGTCCCACAATGGCCCATTTTCTCCATTTGGGAATGAGTGGATGAGAGTTGGC